GTCCTGCATATTTTATAATAAGTGGTTTTTCTGGCATCCCAAATATCAAGTATTATTATGTCTTTCTCTTTTTACTGTTTATAGTTTCAGTGATGGGAAACACAGTTGTGATGGTAATAATATGCTTAGATCAGAATCTGAGAGCTCCAAAATATATTACAGTTTTTAACCTAGCATTTACAGACCTGTTTGGTAGCTCTGCTTTGTTGCCAAAGGTTCTTGACATTTTCCTGTTTGACCATCCCTACATCTCCTACAACGACTGTTTGACATTTCTTTTCTTCTTCTACACCTGCGCTGTGATGCAGGCTCTTAAATATTTCTGTGTATATATCTTCTCTGTTCTTGTTTTGTATTTAATATATCTTGAGTTTTGCAGTCTTGCTATGTTTATGTCAGCTGGAACTGCAGAATACTCGGCTCCTCAAGGGCCGAGGGTGGCCAGCTTTAGTCTTGCAGTATGCATAGAGAATTGTTTGTCTTCGTCTGAAGCAAATGATTTAAAAGGATATACAGACTTATCAATACATTTAAACAGTGCATGCACGTCACCAAACAAGTTTGTTTGCATCAGGTGTGTAGGACGAGGAATAATACTAGTAGAGAAAAAAGATTGGGTGGATGGTTGCTATATGCCTCCAATGTGGTAGTTTAGCCTAAATAAAAATCATTTTGTGGGAGCATTAATTGTCTTTTTTTGATACAGAGACTTATGCCTTCATTTTCATCTAAATTAATATAAATCTTCTTAATGTACCCTCTTTCAATGTATATTACTGTAGTAAAGTAGATAACAATGTTTGTATATTGCAAGTAGTAACATTGGTTAATCACTAGAGGGCGTTGGATCCCCTTGTGGCTCTTATATCTATACATGTACTTAGGGGGCGCAGAGTAAGAACGTGGAGTAAAAATAGTTGTAGACCTGATGTTGCCCTGTATAGAAACTGTGAGTTAAAGTAAAGAATACTGGAAGCCTGGACGCCTAAGTTCTATTATTTTCACCTCACGATACCACAATTACCATACAGTATATAACAAAAGTCTCTTTCATTTTATGCTCATCGACAGTGTGACATGGTGGCTGGGACAGTTTGGCTTTGTTTTACAGGTGTGATATCGTGTTGCTTCAGGACCCAACGTCTGAATATTTCCTTGATCTCCTTGGTTCTCAGGCAGTAGATGAACGGGTTGATCAGAGGAGGGAATAGACTGTAGAAGAGGGTGGTGGCTATACGCTTGTCAGGGGTCAATGTCAGGTTGGGAAAGTAAGGTGTAGAGTAGACAAAAAAACGTGGTATGTAGTAGATGGATATGATACAGCCCTGAGTGGCACAGGTAGAGAAAGTCTTCTTTCTGCCCTGAGGAGAACAGCAGCTTAAGGTTAAAAGGAGTTATGAATAATATAAAATATGTGTCAGTTTTAAAAAGAGGTCATTGCTGAGGCTATAATGTCTATGACCTTAGAGATTTAAGAATGGAGAGCTTGATTGATTGTTTTGTGTGAATATTGTGAATAATCATGAAAGTATTGTGAAACGCAAAAGATGTGAAACACACCATGATCTTACCTCTCCACTGGCCATGCGCAATATTGAGATGATGATACAAATGTAAGAGAAGATGATGAAAGCTAAGGGAACGTAAAGAACAAACATTGCTGCAGCGAAAGCAGTGTTGTAGTGCCGGCTGGTGTCCCCACACACTAGAGATATAAGTGACAAAGTGTCACAGAAGGCTTGTATAATTGTGTTGGGCCCACAAAACGGCATCATAGTAAGGTTGACAGTACTAATGCCAGAGAAGATGTGTGCCACCACCCAGCAGAAAAGAGTCAGGCCTGTCATGATTTGGCTTGTCATCACTAGAAAGGAAAACAGATGGCTACATATCGGTCCAGGGCCATGGTGAATAAAATCAGGGAGTTCAAGGAGCCAAAATAATGAATCATGTGCTCTTGGAAGAGGCAAGTGTGAAAGCCAAGACTCCCATCATTCCACCAGTAGCGAGCAATGAGTTTAGGTAAGGCTACTGTGGTAAAGCCTGTTGGAAAAGGTAAAAGAGAAATGAGAAAAACAAGGAAAAGCAGATCATGTCTAACACTTTGTTTGTTTATAATATCTTTCACTTCATGGTAAAATATATCTATATAATTCAACCTTGCATTCATTTCTGAAGCCTCTTGTCACACTTAAATGCATTCATTTAAACAAAAACTCACAGATTTATACCTTCATCCTGTTTGCCTCCACTATCGCCTCTGCTATGCTCATTGTCAACAACAGTAAGACCTTGAATGTTTCTTTCAAATAGATGAGCAATATTTTATGAAAGCAGTGTAACATTTAAAACAACAGAAGACACATGACAAGTGACACAAGCAGTACCATATTTACCGATGTCTGAGAGGGCCAGACTGACCATGGTAATGTACATAGGCTTTTGGAGGCTGCGCTCCAAAGCAAACACCATCACCAGCAGGACATTTCCCACCACTGTGGTAACATAGAGAATGAAGAAGAACCACGCCACTAGGTGAAAATACTCTGACTGGAGACTCGGGAAGCCCACAATAACAAACTCTGACACACGTGTGTAGTTCTCCACCTGAAACATTCTGTAGGCTGATAACACAACCAGGACAGTACAGCATCTGTCTGAGAGGGGCGGTGCCCACAGTGTGATATCGACTGAGCAGACACTTATGTGTTTATCAGTGCTTAACTCCCCAGTGGTCTTGATGTTGGAACAAACACAAGCAAAAGTCTCAGATTTATCAAATGTTTTTGACACACAGGAAGAGTAAAGTACACTGACACAATTCTGTTCCAATGGAGGCAAACACACACTCAGGTTGTCCAAGTAGCCTTTCCACAATAATTGTATCATTGCAAGGTGTTTAAGTGTTTAAACTAAATCCCATGATTTTCTGGTCTGGAATATGTTTACATTTAGTATAATGTGGGCACAATAAATTGTATGACAGGTGACTATAAACATACAGATGATAAACTACAACTGTATGCTGGTAGTGTTAAAAATATCAAGGATGTCCTATTACAGTATATTGTAAAATACAAGGATGTATAAAATCTACAGTCTAGACTAAATCTAAGTTCAGTTACATTGAGAGCAGCAGTAGCTATAGTTACATTGCTATGACCAGGTCTAAACCCTGACTACTGTGGCTGAAAGACACTACTAAACTCCAGGCAGAGGGGTGGTTGTGAGTTAACTAGTGATTCTAGGATTCTGGACTGACAGAACAGCTTGGAGTTAGGTCAGTAGTTGTTAAAGTCACTAATGTCACCACCTTTATGCAATGGAAGCACCTGAGCAGTCCTCCAGACTGAAATGAACTGACCAGAGGTTGAATTAATGATGTGTAGGAGCGGAGCAGTAATAACAGAGCACTGAGACGAAGGATCGGTAGGTCAAAATTATCCACACAGGAGACTTTCTTATACTTAAATTTATTTAAATACCTTTGAATATGGGACAGGTTTAAGTGAAAATTTGATATTCGTGAGGTGAGAACTGAAAGAAGGACAACTGACTGATGCTGGGATGTTATTTTTGCCAGTGTAAGAATGAGTTAACAAATATATTACATATTGCAATAAAATTATTATTAAAAACTTCAATCATCCTGTTTGTATCAGTAATGTTGGGATACAATATATCATCAATGACATTTAGGTATAATGCTCAACTAAATTTATAAACATCCATAAAACCAACATGTTTCATGTGTGTGACTCTAAGGCCTGACTACAAGAAATGAGTAGGACTGGCAGAGTGAACATATATGGAGAACCACTGTTCATAACACTACACGTATTTTTCTCATGCTTAGATAAACATGCATAAAGAATAATATAATTACAGGGATAACATCCAGCAAGCATGAGCCAGTCAACAGAGTAAGACATGACTTTCTCATCCGGTCTGTCACCTATTACTGACTGCAGTATTGGTGATGCTGCCATCTTCTGGCAAAATACCTGTTTGGCATCGTTGTGACAGCCAGCGCTATAATGTAAATGCACACAGTAGAAAATAGTTGGGATCAAATCTTCCACCACCAGCTTACATTAGGTGGAAGATGGTGTCTGAGGCTTTTAATGAAACACCTGATCATCTACATTTAAAAATGGATATAATTATTTATCTTAATTCTTCTAATTTTTCCCCCAAGAACACTGAAAGGGAGGAAATCTGTGATGCTGCTTATTTAATACATAAACATTTTCTGTGATCTTTATTAGTTAGTCAGTCTTGGGTTTTGCAGTCCTGCTGTATCTGCTTCAGCTGTAAATGCAGGATATTCAGTTGCAGGTGGTCTATTTTATAACAACACTAATTTCAGCTACAAATAACAGCATGCCACTCAATTCATTGCACCTCAATTATAATTGTCATTAACTGAGTTACCTTTTTTAAGAAGTACTGTACATAACATATTTACAATTTACAACATATAGAGAATTATATATTACATTTGTTGACATTTTAAGCACAAGGAACAGTCTAGCTAGTCTAAAGCTGGATGCAAAGAGGGATATATTTTTAAAAGGATACACAGACTTGGTTTTCTTCTAAAGTAATATTGTTATTTATTAAACCTATTTCCATCTGTATCACAATATAGTATAAAAAATATAGACTCAAAAATACTTTATATTCATCAAAACAACAATATCATTTTCACTTGTCAGTGTGACACGGTGGCTGGGACAGTT